GTTTTCTTTATACCAATTGATTCGTCTCATTATTTTGTGCATAAAAGTATTAAGGTAAGATTCCCGAAAATTGAATGTTTCACAAGATATTTTATATTTTATGTCAAAATGCTGTAACTTTCAAGCCTCATAACTCGAAAAGTACTTAATGAAAAATAACTTCATTATAGTGTTTTGAAAAGCTCTTGACACCAGCTATTAGATTTTGGAATCATAAATAGGGTGTTCTATTTAAAAACAAAGTTGACCTCCATATGATCTTGGCATGTACACCCTAGGTTAAACCAATGTCATCATCGGATGTCTTCCTCCAAACCCAACAACTTTGGTCTAAATCATTTTTCCTGAAAATGTCTCTCCAAAAAGTTATTCACGTGAGGTTTTAAAATGGGACACCCTGTATAAATATCTCTGTATTTTATAGAGAAAAAAATATTTAGGAAATTTAAAAGAATAATAGCTATACTTCTTCGCTTTTTTTCAGGCTGAACGCGTGGATCGCGCTCCTTTGTGCCCTGTTGATAGGCGGCGGAGCCCTCCATGTGTTTGCATTGTTCTACCAGAAATACATAGGTTCGCTTGTGCGTTTGAAGCAGGGCGAGGAGAACGCATACGATAGCTCAAAGGGTTTGTATCTGTTCACTGAATTCCAGAATTGCATTTTGTACACGTACAGTATGCTGCTTCAAGTCTCACTGCCGCGCTTACCGAACGCCTGGGCCGTGAGAATTTTCATCGGCTGGTGGTGGCTCTACAGCATTTTGGCGACTGTCACTTACCGCGCTAGTATGACCGCCACCCTCTCGCGTCCTGTTGCTAAGTAAAGTAAAAAAAGATACGCATAATTAAAATCGTAGAATGATTTCTGAGAGATTTAAACTAGCGTATATTTTGAATGAAATACTTTTCAATGTTTAAGAATTAGTTCTGTTTTTCCTCTGCGCGTTTAACGCTGCTTATTCATTTGCCACCGCAGAGTAACCATCGATACTTTGACGCAGCTGACGAAATCGTCGCTGGCTGTCGGAGGATGGAGCGAGGAGGGCAAGGAGTTCTTCCTTGCCTCTCCAGATCCGCATAGTCAAGAGATCGGACACAAGTTCGAGTTAACGGAAAACGAGGAAGATGCCATCGATCGAGTGGCAAACGGAACGTTCTCCTACTACGAAAACTCATATTTATTGCAGCACGTTCGCGGAAAGCGGATATACGAGAAGGGAAACGATCAAAATAACAAGAGCGAGAAGGATACTGGATCGGGAGTAAAGTACAATTTACATATTATGGAGGAATGTGTCGTTCACATGCCAATCGCGTTAGGACTGGAAAAGAATTCTCCGCTGAAGCCTCATGTAGATTTATGGGTATTTTGCTTTACAATATTAATCCGTAAAGAACGATTAGCTACAATTATTCCGAATTGTCGTATGTGAAGAATATGCTGCAGAAAGACTTGTAAATATGCGATGTTTTTTTCTTTATCCGGCAAAATAAAATAACATTTATCTCTTCTTAAGCCTGCTTTAGATTATATATCATTCTTGACAGAATTCAAGATAGAAATCTATTTATAATGTTCAAGAGATGGAAGAATCGACATTTACACATACAAAATAGCGGATATATATTTTGTACATGTGTGTACTCCGATTTTTCAAATGTTTCCTGTATTACAGTCACATAAAATCGCAAATGTAATTTTATTTCAAATTATATTAACAAATTAAATTGTCTAAAGTAGGCTTTATTTGAAATAAAGTTAATTAAGTTAATAACTTGATGAAGAACGTCTTCTTAATTTTTAATATAAGTTTCGGACTTACTTAGCATGAGAGTGTAATTCGTATTCTAGGTGAGACGGATGATAGAAATTGGTCTGGTGCACAAGTGGCTGAGCGATGTGATGGAGTGGTCGAAGATCAACGAGTCTCGACTGGAATCGAAATCCGAAACAGCGTTGGTAAATCTGCGTAAGCTGTACGGAGCACTCATTGCTCTCGGAATCGGATACTTTCTCAGTTTTGCAGTTTTACTCGGCGAAATTCTACATTGGAAATATGTCATCTTGAAAGATCCCAAGTACGACAAGTACTATCAAAATGAGTTTTATAAAAGCAATAATAAAATCGAAACTTGAAACGCTATTTTTACGTTTATCCCGCAAAGTAGTAAGAAAATTATATGTAAAAATATATATGTTAAGGACAATTACATGAATCGAGTATTTTTAATTTTCATATTTTATATAAATACCTACGTTCTTTTACAAGCTCCATTGAGACGTGTGTTTAAATTGTTCAAAAATATGTTAGAGCAAAATACAACTTAAAAAGACTATTATAAAGTCAAATCGTAGTCAAGTGACTGTGACAACGCTGCTATCTAGCATCCCATGAATTTGTACTTTAAAGGCCATTACACACAAAATGACATAACTGCATATGCATAGCATAAGACCGTCTCGACCAATGAACATCTAGCATAAAGGCACCATCTTGATTTACATAGCATGCTCATTGGTCGAGACGGTCTTATGCTATGCATATCCAGTTATGTCATTTTGTGTGTGATGGCCTTGGGTGTTTACGATAATTCAAGTTCGAGTTAGTTTCACTAGGATCGAAAAATGAGATAGACATAACCATCTAGTACCTTCATGATTCATGACAACTCAACGCTGTCTTGTGTCTTGTATTGTTATTAATTGAGTTGAATTAACTGATAGCAGCAGATAGCAATAATATCGAAGATTTAATAAAAAGTAATTTCGTTAAATCGGAGGTGAGGCAGCGATACTGGATAATTACCGAATTTTATGTATTAATATATATATATAAAATAATATTTAGATTATTCTAATATCTTAATATTCAATTGTGATTAAACATTTTCAGATAAGAAATGGATTTACAAGGTATATGGGAAGCATTTTTTGATAATCCATCAGATGATGAATATGAATATTTTCCACCTGAAAGGGAACGTCATAATAGAATTCCACATTATTTCGAAAATATTGTTTTGACATATAGTTTAACAGGTAAGACTTTGAAGAAAGGAGGAGAAAAAGAGAGAATTTTGTTGTATTACTCTTGCACAGTTTTTTATTGTATTAATTGCGGCAAAATAACATTAATATTGTTTCAACAGATTTTAAATCACATTTTCGGGTAGAAAAGCATACATACGAAAGATTGGTACAAGATCTTGGACAACGTCTGTATCGCGAACAAGGTGTTGAGAAAATGTCTCCTGGAAAGCAAATAGCTATTACTTTATGGTTCTTTGGTAATCAGGAAGTTTACAGGTTAGTATGTTTTATTTTTGCATATAAAAAAATTTTTATTGAAGTATATTCAGTTATATAAAATAGTTTCCTGTCTTATTTAATTTTTCTTTTATTTAGTTTTGAAATTTTCTTCAGTATTTTCAAAACTGTTTTCCAAAAATGATATGATAGCTTTTGGAAAGAAATAATTTAGTGACTTTGAATTTCTTTAACATATAATTATCCAGATTACATTGCTTGCGTTTAGCGTGTTTACATCCCCACATACACACAAATTATATTATATAATGTGTGTACATTTTTCAGATCAGTTGCAGATCGATTTGGAGTATCCAAAGATACTGTTTGGAAATGTGTATTTGAGATTGCAATGTTACTAACTGAAGATGTCCACAGATATATAAAATGGCCTGAACTTCGTGAAATGGCTACCTTTGAAAAAGAATTTCGTCAATTACATGGTTTTCCTGGAGTAATTGGTGCAATTGATGGTTCCCATATAGCAATAAGTGCACCTATAGAAAATCCTGAAAATTATATTAATCGCAAAGGCTATCATTCAATAATATTACAAGGAATTTGTGATTATAAATTAAAATTTATAGATGTTTTTACGGGAATGTGTGGTAGCGTTCATGACGCAAGAGTATGGCGTTTAAGCGACATTGGGACATTAATAGCACAAGATGAAAATAGATACTTTCAAAATCAGTACCATCTTCTGGCGGATTCAGCATATCCTTTATCAAATTATATATTAACTCCATATCGAGATAATGGTCATTTAACCAATGTACAAAGAAGGTTTAACACAAAACTCTCAAAAACACGTGTAGTCATTGAGCGTGCTTTTGGAACGTTAAAAGGAAGATTTAGAAAATTAAGATATATTTATATGTATAATACAGAAATGATACCCTTAGTTATTCTTACTTGTTGCATCTTACATAATATATGCATAGAAAATGAAGATGCACTTATAGATGATGATGCATTAGATGCAATAGAAATGCAAGATAATGACATTGCATTTATGAATGGAGCAGAAAAAAGAGACATTATCTCTAATTTGTTGTAAAATTGTCTTTATAAAATATAAACATCATTATTATAAATATACGTATTAATATATAAAACAGGCATTATATTGAACCTTGAACTTGTCACTAAATACAACAGCTGTCATATATTTATAAATTAGATCATTTTGAATAAAAACGTCCTATACTCATTTTGTTTATTATTATTATTATTTTAATATTTTGGAATGCACACATATATTTTAATAGGAACAAAAGTGATGAATAACAATACTCTATTTTGCTAACTATCATATAAATATTTCCAATCTTTACATGAAGTCTGAAGATTAGATTTATCAAAACATAAAAATTTCTCAAAAAAAAAATATAATAAAAAATAAATAAATTTACTTTTAAATGCAATGATACAGCTTAATATTATAACACAATATTATTTTTAGTATCATATATTTTGCACTTTTAAATACAAAGCTTTACTTTTTTACTAATGTAACTAAAATAATATAACTAATGTAATGTAAGTAATGTAACTAAAAAATTTTTTGTTTTCATCAATATCTAAAATATAATGTGTTTATACTTCTTAGGACCGATTGCACCAATGTTATTTTGATTTTAAGCGAAACTTTAATATGTGTCTGTCTTTATTCATTTAGAAAAAAAGATAAAGATAGACATGTTTCACAGTCTCGCTTAAATTTAAAATAATGTCGGTGCAACCTGGCCTTACACTTTTAAAAAATATTGTTTAAAAATTCACTTTATATATCTGTTTTTTAAATATATTTTCTTATTCTTTCCTAATGTTTATCTTAGAGTGCTTTTTTAATAAAGCTAAAAGACGCTCTCTTTGGGTGTAATTTTCTTTATGATGTCTTTCTCTTTGCTCTATTACTTCTTCCATCCAAGCAGATGCTTTTGATTTTTTTTTTCTTATTTATCTGTTCTTTAAAGCATTGGTTGATGTTACATTTAATTCATTTTGTTTATTTTCACAATCTTCATCAGATGAAGACAAAACATTTTGATTTATTGTAAAACCACGTGTACTTGATGCAATGGACAACGGTGCAATTGTTGGATTTTTTCCTAACATGTCATTAATAATATCAAAGTATTCCCAAGTTTGTTTTGCTGCACCAGTTTGTTTCTTTGCATCTTTAATTGTTTTATACTTTTTTTTCATACCAGTCCATTTAATGTAACAGTTGTCAGCAGTCAAGTTATATCCATGGGTGTTAATAGATACAGCAATATTTTTCCATATATTTTTGTTCAATTTTCCATACATGGTTGTTGGATTAATAAAAAATTCTGTATTTTTTTGCATTTCTGCTAAGAACAACTTTGTCATATCATCAATCCATTGGACTCTGTAATTAACTAAATTTAGAAATATTACTATTTAAAAAGATAACAATAATTTATATATAATTATGTTTATAATATATATATATAATTATATTTATTAAAGAGGTATACCAACACACACACACACACATACATACCAACATTATTTGTTTCTTTCATAGACTAATTTGCAGTTGACATTTTTCTATTACAATAAAAGCTCAATAAACTCAACAAATTCAATGAATTTAACTCGAGCAATACAAGACAGCGTTGAGTTGTCATGAATCATAAAGGTTCTAGATGGTTATGTCTATCTCATTTTTCGGTCCTAGTGAAACTAACTCGAACTTGAATTATCGTAAACACCCCTTATCTCTTCCACCGTGATCAGCCGTTTCTTCGTCGTGCTTTGGAGATATTTTTCATAAAAGGTAACCTTTTTTTCTTACTTCTTAATATAAATATTAAAATATTTAATTAGATTATTAAATATTAAATATTTTTGCATATATTTTTCGCGTTTTGTTATTTTTTTCCTCGTTGCTACCGTATCTAACCAAAGAAATTCGGTTATGTCAGCGAAAAAATATATTGCAATAAAAATTCATTCTATTATAAAGTCTAATGGCCATCATAAATCCTATGAGGAGACAGGTTTTAGGATGCCTATAGATTTTACAATAAAATTATATGATTGCAATGTGCTTTTTACAGACATAACTCAACCTCTTCGGTTAAATGCGACAACAATGGAAAAAATAACAAAACGCGAGGAATTTATTATTGTTTTGTGGGAATTTCACACAGCAAAATTTTTTTGAAAAAGCTTTTTTTTACTGATTGCTTTCCTATGAGTTACGGTTTAATTTTCCAAAGCTAGTTCTCCTTCAATGATACCTAACTTTACATAATCTACT